GGGTATAAAAATGGATGAAGAAAGGAAAACGCTTAAGAGAAAATGTAAATAGAGAATGAATAAAGAAAGAAAGGGGTAAAAAGAATGAACAAAATCAATGGCGTAAAAACTTGAAAGAAAGAAAAAAAAAGGAATGAATAGGAAAAGAAAGAGCAGACAAAGAAAAACGACTCAAAAGAATATGGAAGGGTTTAAAAATTAGAAAGAAAGAAAACGAAAAGAGATTTAGAAAGAAAAATCTACAAACGAACAAAGAGAAAAGGATAAAAAGAAAAAAAAGAAAGTCACAAATAAAGAAAAGGAAAAAAGGGAAGAATAAGAAAAGGACAAAATAAGATTTTTTTCCATCATTAAGCCACGAACGTATTTATGTACCAAAGTATATATATATATATATATATATATATATATATATATATATATATATATATGGTAATATTAGCCGTTTACTTAGGAAAGGAAATTGAATGAGCTAGCAGCCAGTACTACTATTGGTTGAAATCTATCAAATCTTTCTCTTAAAGCAATTATCCAGGAAAATGGATTCTTCACACCCAGTAGGTGTTATCTCTCTTTCCAGTATTGATAGGAGTTTCCTTCCTATCCTAAATCAAACTTGGCGGAAATGACTTTATTTTTGCTTTTTTTGTTTTAAAAATGGCTAAAATCTTTATTTAAGGACGTAAAATAATTTTCTTTCTTTACGAATTAACTTTATTACCTCTCAAATAAAAACGCAAATTAACTTCAAAGAATATATTTAAATTATTTAAAAAAATTTTTTTTTTTTTTTTTTTTAGCTTTTCTTTTAGAAAGTTCGTGAAGATACCTAATATATGTCTTCCTTAACAACTAGCCTCACGATTCATGGTAATATAGTTCAAGCAGAAAACAATTTTCCAGTTATGCCTGATCTCTCATGCTTATTATTTCTTTTCAGAGGTCATCTCTGCAAAGTCAATTTGATTTCTTCTGAGTTCAAATGTTTTCGATTTGTTAAATTCCTCTATTATACGCCATGCTTCATTTATTTTCGACTTTCTTCATTAGACAAGGATTCTTCGATTCTTTCTCCATCAGGAGCGAAGCAGAAGACACAGATGGTAATCACGACTTTTTTTCTGTTGATACTAGCATGAGACTTTAATCCGTAACATTCTACCCAATAAGAGAGGTCAAGTAGAGGACAAACTGCATCCTCATTACTGACAACCCGAGACCTTAACACATGGTCATGTGATTCACTTATGGCTAAAGAAAAAGGATAAAAACCAAAAAGTCTAAAAATTTGTCGGTCAAAAAACAAACGAAGACAATAGTTCTCTAATGTGTGTACTAATATTTAATTACTTTTTTAATCTGCAATTTAAATAGATAAATAATTTCCGTCATAAATAATTTCCGTATGTGCTTGTCAAATTTACTCTTAAAAAATAAATTACAATTACATTCAATTATTTTCACTGACTAGATGCTCCTTATCAGTCAGCACTTCGGTACCTTTTGAATAAAAGTCCGCAGGTTTTGATGTGAGAAATCTTAGTTACGGAAATTATTTATGACTCAAACAAATAGATGCACGTGTAGAGAAATGGTTATCGGCGCGGAAAAGAGAATCGACGAACCAAGTTCAAATCCCTAATCTGCTGCGTTCACTTTCAAATAATTGAACTTGAAAAAGGCATAAGTTCATTTCTCCCTGTCCGCACAATATTACCATTCCAATATTTTATTTTAACATGCTCATACCTCTATAAATACGAGGATAAGTCAAAACTTATTCGCACTTTCGCCATAGTATATCTTTGGTGAACGGTAATAATGATACAGGAAAATGATACAAGGGAAAAATGGCATAAATGAGAAAAAGACTCTTTAAAAAGCTTAAAATTAAACACCAGTAGCTGTTTAATTTTAAGCTATTTAAAGTTAAATTTCTAATCAGAGGAAAGTTGCCTGTTTACTTCTGGTTCAGTCGTCCGGGAACCATCAATTACACACCATTGATCTCACTGGCACTACTACAAACCCATCGTGGAAGTCATATTAAGTAATAAAGGAAAAGAGAAGATTTGCTTCCAATGACAAATTCCTGTGTCGAAATCTTACCATAAAAATGACATATTTGGATAATCATCACAATAACAAAAAGAACATCATTCGGAAGATCATTACCTTAAGAAACTTACAGAAGGACATATTCCAAGATGTTTCCAAAGACAAATTCCTGTGTCGAAATCTTCACCATAAAAATGACATATTTGGATAATCATCACAATAACAAAATGAACATCATTCGGAAGATCATTACCTTAAGAAACTTACAGAAGGACATATTCCAAGATGTTTCCAAAGACAAATTCCTGTGTCGAAATCTTCACCATAAAAAAAAATGACATATTTGGATAATCATCACAATAACAAAATGAACATCATTCGGAAGATCATAACCTTAAGAAACTTACAGAAGGACATATTCCAAGATGTTTCCAAACACAAATTCCTCTGTCTAAATCTTCACCATAAAAATGACATATTTGGATAATCATCACAATAACAAAATGAACATCATTCGGAAGATCATAACCTTAAGAAACTTACAGAAGGACATATTCCAAGATGTTTCCAAAGACAAATTCCTGTGTCGAAATCTTCACCATAAAAATGACATATTTGGATGATCTTCACATTGAATAGTAATAATGGCACAAGTGAAAAACAGCCTCTTTCAACAGCTTAAAAATTCAGTTGTCTGGGAACCATCAAGTACACTCCATTGATCTCAGTGACTCTACCACAACCCCATTGTGGAAGTCATTTTAAGTAATAAAAGAAAAGAGATGGTTATAAGATCAGATGAGCCATGTACGGTGGAGTAATGGATAGCGGCTCGGATTGAGGAATCGGAGAGTCGAGTTCGAATTCCAGTCAAATCCATTACACTCATTTACATGCTAATACCCTTGGGATAGTTATGAATTCTAAGCTATGGGTAAATATCACGTTAGACCGGGTTCTATAGCTTTGGTTGGCAACTGATCTACCACAGAAAGATATGGCAACCTACTGCGGGCAAAAAAATCTGCCTCGTCATTCATGTTTCGAAAAATACATGATCGGGTCTTAGTGTGTATCACGCATGGCCCATAACTGACTATCAGATGGAAATGTGTTAAGAGAACATCTTTTTGTAAAGCTGCCTTGACCACCAGGTTATATATTGTTGTGTCGTAAATAGGAAAGGTTGACACACACATGAATAAACAAGAAGTAGTTTATTCCGGAGAATAATATATTGCACAGTTAAAAACACAGACTAATATAATAAACAGTTAATCGTTAACTCCTCTGTATTTAATCGTGACTTCACCATAAAGCAGGATGTGGCACAAGGCCGTTTTTTACGCGGGGCGTTCCAAGCGCGTACATTCGGGAAAAAATTCGCCGTATACCCTATATACACAGGGTCGAGTTGCTGTCTATCTCCCTAGACGAAACTCTACCCTTCGGCATCGTCTTGTCTGCTTTCTTCCCTGTCTGGAGGCAGAGAAATCAACTTCTCTTCTTCAGTAAGACAGTGCTGTTTAAATAGTTTTAGACGAGTCCATCCTGTGGTGGTGTTCAGCTACTCCACAACATATGATATATATATATATTTTTTAATTAGATTTCATTTCAAGCCAACTTTTTGCCAGTAATGTATATTTTTTCAATAAACTTATTTTTCCTATTTTTTCCACTTGTGCCATTTTAATCGGTGTCATTATTACTTAAATTCTATATCTTTACGTTTCTACTCACGCGCGTTGATAGTTGGTACTAATGTAGTCATGTAATCGAAGTTTGAGCTGGATAGCGCCAGCTTTCTTGCTGCTGTTACAATGTAAACATGGCCGCTTCGCTAGCAGTGTGCACCAAGCAGGAATAAAGAGCAGTGATTCTAGTTCTCTGATCGGAAGTTGTATCAGGGCTGAAATTCGTCTGAGACTTTTAACCCAATACGGCGACAGGGCACTACCGCGTGGAAGTGTGTATGAGTTGATCGAAAAGTTTTAAAATGTCTGGACAGGCGTGACGCGCGAAGAAAGGACCGGACGCCCGTCACCCCCACCACTGACGAGAGAGATGATAATGGCGAACTGGCGAGTAATCATCGATGAGGTAGGATGTTCGCTGCGGGTTCGGATCACTGTTCTTCGTTGGTGCACACTGCTTGCGGAGCGACTATGTTTACACTGTAACAACAGCAAGAAACTTAGCACGATCAAGCTCAAACTTAGATAACGTGATCACAAGAGTGCCAACTATAATTACCCATCAACAGAAGACAGTGTGACAAGTCTAAAGATATGTTATGGTGAAAGTGCGGATAATTTCTGACTTACGATCGTATTTATGAACAAGTTAAGATAAAATATGGAAATAATATTAGCCGTAAGGAAACATTTTACATTTATTGATCGAGCAGCCAGTACGACTGTCAGTTGAAATTTATAAAGTCTTTCTCGTAAAACAATTTTTCAGAAAATAAATTCCCCAAGTCCAGTAGCTGTTATAGCTCTTTCCAGTATTGATAAGGGTTTCCTTCCTAACCTTTTGTTCGAAGTAGTGTGGAGTGTCAACATTTTGATTATGTCATTGTTTTCTGTTCAGGTAACATGTGTTATCCGTGTGCTATCCATTTTACTTGTTGCTGCTGTTGGTAGTCTTCAAGTGATGTGGTTTCTTTTATTTAGTACTGTTCCTCGTTTTGTGATTCTGTCAAAAGCTACTTCGAACAAAACACAAGAAGTTGTGGAGAGCCATGATCACCTACGTAATGTGTTTGTGTGAACGGGGGTAATGAGCCAAAAGCTACTTAGAACGGCAAAAGAGAGGAAAGTGTGGAGAGCCATGATCAGCAACGTCCGAAAAGGATTGATATACAGGTAGATAGATAGATAGATGTGAACAGACTGAGAAAGAAAGAAAGAAACAGACTGAAATAGCTAGCTAGCTAGCTAGATAGATAGATAGATAGAAAGAAAGAAAGAAAGAAAGAAAGAAAGAATGAAACAAACAAACAAACAAACAAACAAACAGACTGAAATAGATAGATAGATAGAGATAGATAGATAGATAGATAGATAGATAGAAACAAAGAAACAAAGAAACAAAGAGACTGAAATAGATAGCTAGCTAGCTATCTAGATAGAGAGAAAGAAAGAAAGAAACAAACAAACAAACAGACTGAAATAGATAGATAGATAGATAGATAGATAGATAGATAGATAGATAGAAAGGAAGAGACTGAAATAGCTAGCTAGCTAGTTAGCTAGATAGATAGATAGATAGATAGATAGATAGATAGATAGATAGAAAGAAAGAAACAAATAAACAGACTGAGATAGATAGATAGATAGATAGATAGATAGATAGATAGATAGATAGATAGATAAAGAAACAGACTGAGATAGCTAGCTAGACAGATCGACTGACTATGTCACGGTATACGTTTGAATCTGCCATTGCTCGCTGATAAATTCACTAATTATATTGTTTTTGTTTTTCGTTAAATCCCTCGCTCAGTGTAATAAACATCTTACAGTGTAAAATTGATACGAATTAATACGATTAGATAAATTCAAATTGAAAGGTCCCTTCCTTTTCCTCAGTGCGACTTTGACAGATGCTCATTCTATCTTTCAGTGAACTGAAAAGGTCACGATAGAAAACGAATTGCTTGTTGTAAGGAGAAAGAAAAACGTAATTTGACCCGAGACTTTGGGGGGTGGTATCACCCAGTGAATGGCAGTAGATTGATTTTATCAGGAAACATAAATTCGTCGAAATTTACACGCTGGAGTTAAAATAATAAGAAAACACGTGTAGAGTTTTGCTTTTTACTGCTCTTTTTTTTTTCTTTTTTTTTTTTTTAATTTTGGGTTTCCTCATGTTAGAAGTGTGGAGAGTGAATTTCCGCCAAGTTCTTTTGCGTTCCCTTCGCGCTAAGCATCATGGAAAAAGTATGGATCTATCACTTCTGCCTCCTCGCTATGGGTTAAATAGAAGTGCTGACTGAGCTCTTCTCCCTTAAGGTGGTAACCAATATAAGAGAAGGAAGACTCTGCGTTTGTTGTGGTGAGTATCACGCAAATACCCTTCAGCGAATCTGTCTCTTCCCTCCAACAATGGATTAAATAACGAGGCAGAGTGAGCTCTCTTACCTTAAGTAAGTAAATCTAGAAAGAAAATTATGAATTCAAAACCATTCTGAAGATGTATTAGTTCCATCAAGCTATCTCACCCAACACACCATTGATATAGACGTACAATATATGGTGCCATACAACCCAATAGTTTATGGGAATCGTGATATTCCTGATATGATTAATCATTTTTAAACGTTCGATTTCACTCATAAAAATATCTGACACAACAGGTACTTATTAAATGTTTTAATGGGGCTGTGGAACAAAGTATCAGTTAAGAATGAAAACATTTTAAAAAATTGAATAAATAAATTATATGAGCTTAGGGTACTACTGTACTACTGTACCCTAAGCTTTACCTGTGCATGAAATAAGCTTTGTATGCAAGATCCGCAAGAAAAAAAAATCATACGTTGTAATTACAGCAATTCAAACAAACGTTTAAAATCACGTCTCAAAATTAACAGAATTACAATAATTGGATCCCCGACTATAGCGTTTGTATAAAATGGCTAATTTTATTTACTTATCGACGACATGATTGTGGGAATTGTCATTAATAATTCTAATTTTATGTTGATATCCTGAATGCGTTTTCAGGCTCATGCACTTCATACAGCATACTCCGGCATCTACGATGGCCGAGTGGTTAAGTCGTTGTTCATGCGACCGCGTATGTTCAAACACTATTTGTGCTATTATCATGATGGTGTACTCCGACGTGGTGTCATGGTAAGCAAGCTTTTATGTGCGTGGAACAAGAATTTGACGAACCGAGATAAAATTCTGTCCTTATCTGTTCCAGCACCTTCCACACGTTTGGAAAATACACGAATCCATCTCTTCTTAGCTACAGGTTAAATATCAGAGTAGACTGAGATCTGCAGTCTTGTGTGCAATCAGTCGAAGATTTTTAAAAAAAAGCAGCCCAATTAAAACCCGTAGAGATGGTATCGAGAAACTATTCCACTATATTTGCCAAGAAGTCATAGTAATCCATACCTATTAGAGAAAGCTGTCGAGAGACATGATCGCCCACGCCTTGACCAGAGACGGGCATATAAGAGAAGAAAGAAAAGGAATCTGTGGAGAGCCATGATCGCCCACGTTTTGAAAGAACACTGAGATCTGCAGTCTTGTGTGCAATCAGTTGAAGATTTTAAAAAAAGCAGCCCAATTAAAACCCGTAGAGATGGTATCGAGAAACTATTCCACTATATTTGCCAAGAAGTCATAGTAATTCATACCTATTAGAGAAAGCTGTGGAGAGGCATGATCGCCCACGCCTTGAAGGTACACGGCATATAAGAGAAGAAAGAAGAGCAATCTTGGGGAAGCCATGTGGCATACAAGAAGGCATGAAGAGCCATGTCCCCTACGTCTTGAAGGGACACGGAGTATAAGAAAAAAAAAAGAATAAAAATCTGTGGAGAGTAATGGTAGCCCACTTCTTAAAGGGGGACGACATATAAGAGAAGAAAGAAAAAAATATATGTGAAGAGTCATGTTCGCCCGCGTCTTGAAGGGACCCGGCATACAAGAAAGAAAAGGAATCTGTGAAAAGCCATGATCCCCGAAAGGACCCGGCATATAAGAGAAGAAAAAAAGCAATCTGTGGAGAGTCATGATCGCCTGCGTCTTGAAGGGACACGGTATGTAAGAAAAGAAAGAAAAGGAATCTGTGGAGAGCCATGATCGCCCACGTCTTGAAGGAACACTGAGATCTGCAGTTTTGTGTGAAATCAGTCGAAGATTTAAAAAAAAAGCAGCCCAATTAAAACCCGTAGAGTGGGACTATATTTGCCAAGAAGTCATAGTAATTCATACCTATTAGAGGCAGACATGATTCTCTTGAAGGACCATATAAGAGAAGAAAGAAATGGAATCTGTGAAGAGCCATTGGTTGCGCTGGCATTGGTATGACTACTGAGCCCACCTCTTTAGTGCAAGTGTAGTGGGACTTAGCCTCGGGCAGCTGTTCTCTGGGACCAGGAACCTCACACTATTTATTTTCCTCGACTGCGTCTCTATCCGCGGAGAGAGCCACAGTTGTGCCGCACTCTGCCCGAAGACAAAGACACAACTGAGAGTTTATAAACCATATCCGGCATGTGCCAGGTAAGGCGATTTACTTGTCCCCCCGCCCCACGACTCCACGGAGCCAGGTTGTGACACAGGGTCGATTTAACGTGGAGAACCCGAGTGCGTACACTCGGGCTAAGGACAAAAGTTCCTCGAGCCCCCGTAACCGTCTGCTGCGCTGAGCTCGATGCGAGCACCGATCCTTCTCTCTAGTGCAATGAGAGCGTGCAGACTTGGGCATCTATTCCCCTGGGCTGTGTACCTCACAGCGTGATTTTCTTCAGTTGCGCCTCTGTCCGACGGAGCCGCAACCGTTTCGCAGTCTACCCGAAGACAGAGACGTAACTGAGAGATGATGAACCATACCGTGCATCTGCCAGATAAGTATATAAATTAAAATATGTCGCATTAATAAATGAAAAATCTGTTCTTAAAAACAGTGCTATTTGCAAACAACTATGATCTTATATGAAGAGAAAAATATTACTTCTATATAAAACTCTGTGAACTTTGTATCTTGTGTGTTTGCCAGAAGTCATATATAGAGAGTGGGGAAAAGAAAGATATAAAAAATTCATATATAGAGAGTTAGGAAGAGAAAGATGTAAATTTATTATCGTGTAGGAGGTGGGGGATGGAGCTGATTTTCTTACGGGAAAGTGTATAAAACACACGAAATCCAGCCCAAACAGAATACGCACAGCTGTCATCAAGGCTCACGCCACTCTGGCTTTTGAACTACACGACCATGCGACAGCGCTGAAAAACTTCAAAGAGACTACGGCAACACCGTCCACAGTAAGAAACAAATTCTATCTTTTCTATTCTCTTTACTATGAACCATGCACACACGTGTTGATTTTTTTCACACAAACACACATATACCAACATTTCATTGTTTCTCACATACGTACACAAAGAGAATGTATATCTTATTTCGTAATTTTATTAATCCAAACAAAAAGGCATTACTTTCCAATCTATGACCAATTGCTTGTATTCTTGTCGTTATATTAAATTAATGTTCATTTCTTGAAACTACGTTGTCTTTTTGACTGAACTTTATTCTTTCAATAAAAATTGTTTCATTATTCTAAACGGTCGAATTACGCGCAGCCCTGCAACAATATTTTATGCTATTGTATCAAATCCCAACACTCTGGGGGTGAATTTTGACATTCCAAGTTCTTATTGTTCAGCTTTCCATGCGGGTTTTTATACCCTTTGAATTTATGTGACCAATAATTTGTCCTCTGTAGAAAATAAAGGTAAGAAGGGCATTGACACGACACGACGAGAGAAAACAGGACAACGCCAGACTTGAGTGTAAAAAAAAGAAAGGCTTTATATCAGAAAGAGGAAGAAAAAAGGGAAGGTAAAAAAATTGGGTTTAAAAATCGTTGCAAAAAAAAACAGTGGTTTATTGCGAGGACTTAACTGGTGGCAGTAAAGTTCGTTCGGTTAACAGTTCTCATTTTTGTTGCAACGTTGGAATATATTCGTCTTCAGGTCGAAGAGAGATTTAGTTTTCGGATGCTTTGCTGAAACTGTTGAGACATCCTCGTTGTTATGTTGTATTCTTGGCCGCTCCATTTTTAGACGCCATGTGGCTGCTGGTTGAATTTTACGGAGCTAAATTAGTCCGTGTTGATTCATCGGTGGCACAGGAAAAAGGAGGCCGTGATAGGCTGCTTTCAGCCCAACCCAGGGGCCGGTGATAACGACCGCTACAAAGGGCGGCAATTCATTTATCTATATAATATTTTCAATATTTCTTCAAACAGACACTTTTTTTTAATGTTGAAAACAACTTCAATAACTGCAAATAAATGTATTTTTTAAAATATCTCTACTTTCACACACCTCTTCATGAAACTAAATGTGAACAAAATACGGTTGATCTAACGGGTCACAGGCGGTCTAGTATTGTCTAAACCTTTGTGATTCGAGTTTTAGTCATTATCAAGATGAGGAAAATGTGGACGTTATTCGTTATCTTTTTCGTTTCGTTTCGTTTCGTTTCGTTTTCAAATACATCTAAACTCGGGATTATAACGTAATCAATACGTGTAAATACGATACAACCTAAACTGTATAAAAGCGACAAACGAAAAAGGTTTATCAAGAAATCTCAAACTGAATATGATCTTATGTTTGGGAGCTGGGAGTTTAATAACTGACAGATACGTTTAACCAAGTGAAGGATTTTGTTTATATGTAGTCTTGTGATTGATGTTATCACAGCACCCAGAAGTTATAATGCCAAGTAAGCCTTATTTAAAAATTGAAAAAAATAAATAACATCCTTAGTTTTATGCTGACCTTGATAATAATCAGAAATGGAATCGAAAGCGATAGAACCCAAATAATTTTAATAAAAAAATAACGGTATAAATTTAAAAATACGTAAAAAGCAAAGTTACTTATTAATTTAAATATATTAAAAAGTGTCATAGATTTAATCTTCACGTCAGAGAGTTAGGTGCTTTAATTGAATTTAATAAACATATATCATTTTTTTTACAGTATGGTTCACCCTGTACATGGCTCAAGGTCACTCGAGGTAGAGAGTTACAGCAAAGGGTAGTTTATACGGATTGCAGGGATAGATAATAGTTAATCATAAACTGGAATAAGTTAAAATTGTAAAGTTCGGGAAGACATAATATATAAGTAAGCAATATTTCTTCCAAATCAGATTAATTTAACTTTAATTTTTCTAATTTTAATCAAATAACGTGTCAGATATATATATATATATATATATATATATATATATATATATATAGTTTATTCAAATTTAGGTAATCCGTATGGGTAGACCTGAGGAGGATGATATCCAGAGAGCTCAATGTAAAATTCAGAGCAGATATGTTTGAATAAAAAACAGACCACGTTAAGATTCCATGTAATAAACTATTTCACCATAATCCCTTTAAGAGGGTTCTGGATCATCAGACTTTACTTCCAAAAGCTGAAATGAAAATTGGAAGTAAAGTCTGATGATCCAGAACCTGTTAAAGGGGTTATGGTGAAATAGCTTATTACATGGAATCTTAACGTGGTCTGTCTTTTATTCAAACAAATATATATATATATATATATATATATATATATATATATATATATATATATATATATATATATATATATGCAAATATATTGATAAAATAGGAAAGCACCGTTAGATTGATGATCCGAAGTATTTTTGTTTTTATTTTTAAAAAACAGTGCTCGATATACAAGTAGAGCTTAGATTATAATTATTTTTTTTTAAGATTCCATCGCTACACAGGAATTACCATGTAATAAAATACAAACTAAAAACATTCGATTCAATTATAGAATTAAATTAGGTACTTTAATTTAATTTAATTCTATAATTGAAATGGAAGTTTTTAGCCTCTGTTTTTGAAACATGGTAATTCCTGTGTAGTAGCGATGGAATCATATTTTTTAATAAAATAATTATATATTATGTTTATACGTTCTTATTATAGATACAAATATTTAAGTAAATGCTCTGTTTATAATAAACAGTATTAACCGGCTGAATGTCCGAGAAATTTTCATAGAAAATATGCGTCCTCCGACAGGAATCGAACCTTTATCCTATACGGAACCGTCATATTAACCGATTGGGCCACAGAGGAGCGTTCGGTTAGCAGCAAGGTCGATTTTACTGTTTTTAAACACAATTCTCCATGATTTTCTCTCATTCATTCATATCTGCTCAATGCGTATCCAAATGTAAACAAATGACGTCATACATTACGAAATGGACAAAGTCCGACAATTATTTTTTAAGGACATTTTTAATTATGTTTATACGTTCTTTTTATATATACAAATATTTAAGTAAATGCTCTGTTTATAATAAACAGTATTAACAATATTTACCGACCTGAATGTCCGAGAAATTTTGGGGAGAAGCATATTTTCTATGAAAATTTATCGGCCGGTAAATGTTGTTAATACTATTTATTATAAACAGGGCATTTACTTAAATATTTGCATCTATAAAAAGAACGTATAAACGTAAAAAATGTCTTTAAAAAATAATTGTCGGACTTTTTATGCATTTCATAATGTATGACGTCATATATATATATATATATATATATATATATATATATAAAGTTGCAAATTAAAAAAAAATAATGTACTTTTATGAAAGTATTTATTTATTTGTATATATATTTGATATTTCAGATTGGCCCCAATCTTTCTTCTTGTAAATTTTTTTATTTCTTATTTTATTTTTTTTTATTTTATTTTTTTATTTTTTTTAAACAACATCTAAGATATTATTACAGTTAGATATTCGTTAGGAATATTCGTTCCATATCACGTGACATCCGCATCTCGCGACGGACGCTACTTGTAAACAAACAGTTATTTCTGAAGTAAGATTGAGGCCAATCTGAAATATAAAATATACATACAAATAAATAAATACTTTCATAAAAGTACATTATTTTTTTAATTTGCAACGTTTTCTATATATACATATTAAGAAAGTATACGTGGCTTCTCATTATATATATATATATATATATATATATATATATATATATATATATATATATTTTTTTTTGGGAAGAATTTTAAAATCGATATATTTATTTTGTTTACAAATTTCTTAAATTTAAGAAAATGGCTGATTTTAAGAAAATTTTAAGAAATCAAAATTAAATTTGACATTCCAATCTATATAATTTCTATCTGAAATACAGCCGAATATTTTACTTACTGAAAATAATGAACTTAATCATTTAGCTTTCAATTAAAGCTAAAATGAAATCTTCAAGAATGTTTTTTTTTTCATTTTTAAAAATTCATTTTAAACTTTAGGTATCGAAAATTTATGCCGAAATACAGGAGGTACCTAGATAATAGTTAATCCTAGTGTGGAATAGGTTAAAACTGGAGTGATCGCGAAAACATCCTGTTGAGAGTCGGTTCCACAGAGCAATGGTCTGCGGGAAGAAGCTGTTCGAATGGAACTTACTTTTCACCAATACACCAATGCAAGGTGGGAATGTGGGCGGTTTTCTACAATGTAAGTAATATGGCGGATCCTAGCCGTGAAGGTTAGAGCTGGTGGAACCAAGCAATGTAATTTGACCAAGCACTAAATGGCGTTGCTTCACCATATTTAAAATTCGTTCTTTCCTTTAAGGACATTATCATATGACGTCATCAAATCTGAAATTATTCGATTATTAAGAAGTATTTTCCTTTATGGTTAATTTCTTCACTTGTCAACCATTAAAAGTTATCAGCTTCTTATTTAAATATTTGTAAATACCTCCAGTTGCATATAAAGGGCTTACGGCCATATCACGTTGAAACACTAGTTCCGGTACGATCAGCGAAGTTAAGCAATTTCGAGCCCAGTCAGTACTTAGATAGGTAACCACTTGGAAATATCAGGTGCTGTAAGCTTGAGTATGCGGGTGGTTTAATAGATAATGGCTCGGAATTGTAAATCGGAGAGCCGAGTTCCAATTCCCGTTGGGTTCGTTATATTCATTTACGCGCAAATAGCCATGCGAAAGGTATCAATCCACATCTTCTCCCCAAGCTATGGGTTAATTAGTAAGACTTTTGTCACTAAACCGTTATTATCTTTAAAAAATTGTTAGAACCTAAAAAATATTTTCTGGCTTTTAAATAACCTGCAAAGCCGTTGATAAACCGTAGAAAATAAATCATATAAAGATTTTTTGCTATTGGGTTATTTATATTGGGTCAGAAGACTTGTGAAAAAAAAGCAGAACATATTGGCTTGGAATTGATACTTATAATATTGATGTATGTTTCCTCCAAGAAATCAAAATCAAAGAACTTGGTATTAATATCGGAGTTAGCACAAGTTAATAGCTTTGGATACAGTAAATATGATGGAAATGGTTTTGTCACCAATACGAATTGGAAGAATAACATCCATAGACATTGGACGAACAACCACAGTATAAACATTAAAGACATTAAAAGAACTATCAATAAAATTCCACTATTCGTTTTAAAAACTTTGAAGATCTTGAAAGACGTGCATCGTTTTCGTGGGTTAACACAAGACAGGAAGATTTGAAGAAGACCGATAAGAGATAAAGTGGAACCTCGGTTCACGAATTTAATTCATTCCCGAAAGCCATTCGTAATTCGAAATGTTCGTAAACCGAAACTATTTGTCCAATAAGAATCAATGTAGAGAAAAAAAGTCACAGTACAATAAAATTGGAAAAGAAAAGCACGCCACAAGACACGAATGTATACAACATGGCGGTCGAATCAAAAATGATTCCGTTTGGGTTAACTCGGTTCGGTAATGTTGTTCGAGAACCGAAATTTTGTTCGATAACCGAGACATTTTCATCTTGAATTTTCTGTTCGTGAACCGATTTGTTCGACATGTAAGAGGTTCGAGAAACGAGGTTGCTCTGTATTTAAAAAGTTGCTGAAGACGAAAAATCGTACTGATTTACTGTGTGCCTTCAAGTCGAAACAACCCTCATGATGTATCGTTATAAAAGCTAATCTCATCTGAAACTGTTCGATTATGCGTATTCAATAACTTTTACAAAATCAAAGTATTTTTTGGTTATGGCGAATTTCTCCACTTGTCAACCGTTAAATGTTGGCAACCTCTTATTAAAAAGTTTGTAAATGCTTCCAGTTGTGTACAGAGATGTTTTACCACCGGCACGTTTAATATTAGATGACTTCTGAAAAAAAGAAAAGAAAAAAAAGCAGGAATTATTGGCTCGGGACGTTGATAGCGATAAAATTGATGTATGTTGCCTCCAAGAAATCAAAATCAAAGAAGGACTTGATATTAATCTTGAAGTTAAACAGTACAAGTTAATAATTTTGGAAACAGACAAAAATATGGAAATCGTTTTGTCATCAATATAGATAGATAGATAGATAGATAGATAGATAGATAGGATAGATAGATATCTTATTAACTTATGATAGATAGATAGATAGATAGGGAGATAGATCTTAGATAGATAGATAGATGATAGATAGATAGATAGATAACTAGATAGATAGATAGATAGATAGATAGGAAGTTATCTTATTAACTAGATAGATAGATAAATAGATAGATAGATAGATAGATAGATAGATAGATAGATAGATAGGAAGATTATCTTATTATAGATGAATAGATAGATAGATAGATAGATAGATAGGAAGTTATCTCATTAACTAGATAGATAGATAGATAGATAGATAGATAGATAGGAAGTTATCTTATTAACTAGATAGATAGATAGATAGATAGATAGATAGATAGATAGATAGATAGATAGATAGATAGATAGGAAGTTATCTTATTAACTAGATAGATAGATAGATAGATAGATAGATAGATAGATAGGAAGGAAGTTATCTTATTAACTAGATAGATAGATAGATAGATAGATAGATAGATAGATAGGGTGTTCCACTAAGTTGGGCCAATTTTAAATGTGAATTAAGTTTAAACGTCTAATGATTTTTTTCTTTTTCTTTCAGATTTAACAACTTAAGTCTTTGGCAATTTCAACAATGGTAAGATTAACAATCAAACAATGTGTTAAAGTTCAGTCAGTTATGTGCCATGCGGTAGACCAGTTTCCATCCAAGGCTATAGAACCCGGCCTGTCCTGCTATTTACTGATAGCTGGGAGGAGAAGATGAGGATTCATACCTTTCTCAAGGGTATTAGCACGTAAGTGAATATCAGTTCAGTTATGTGCCATACGTGTTACACACTTAGGCGATCATGTATCTTTCGATACATGGCTAACGAGTCAGGTTTTTTCTCGCAGTAGGTTGCCATTTCTTTCTGCGGTAGACCAGTTGCCAGCCAAGGCCATAGAACCCGGTCTGTCCTGCTATTTACCTATAGCTGGGTGATGAAGAGGATTCATACCTTTCCCAAGGTTATTAGCACGTAAGTGAACGTAATGGATCTGACTGGAATTCGAACTCGGCTCTCCGATTCCTTAATCCGAGCTATTGAGGAGGCACGGTGACGTAATGGATAGCGTGCTTTCTCTTTTTGTTAATAAAAGGTAGACTGTGTGTGTCTTTCTTTCTAATGTTATTTAAGGCTAATTTTATTTGCTCGTCGACACATGATTGGGGGGAAATGAATACGTTTATGTAAATTATTCCTGATACAACCGTTTATATTTATTTGTAGATTTTATTTCTTAAGTATCTGTCCTTCATATATAGTATCTTCCGAATGTCCGTGGTCTGAAATCCTTTGAATGTTAGTGGGCAGGTTATCAAGTAAGTGTTTACATTGACGTAGACAAGAATTTCTTAACTACATCCTGGTATTTTAATTTTATTTTTATTTTTACATCAGTGTTGTTGGTCGCGTGTATCCAAGCAAAAGTGTCGCTGCCGCTTGTACTGAGAACAAAAAAGAGAAAAAAAATAGACAGACAGATAGACGGTCATAAATATTAAGTTTCTAACAGATTTGAAACTGATCCGAGAGATGATAGTCCTTGATTGAATATAAAACTCATGGACTAAAATTAACTCAACTGCAGACAGGCAACCGAGGACAGGAATTCCGGAAACACAGGTGAAAATACAATTTACAGTTAAATCGAAAAAAAAAATTCTATTTCTTGTAAATTACATAGAATTAAAAAGACTTGCGTCAGTTAAAACTGATGTCAATACACCAGCTTGTAATTGCTGCTGAGTTGTATTTTATTTACCTTTCATCTTTTATAAATTGAGGTACAGCTAAATTTTGTCTGTGTGTCTCAAGTAAAACAACAACAAAAGAAAAAGCATACATAGTTAACATGTGAATGACAATGTGTCTAATTCACGGAATCAGGGCCGGTGTAAGGGTTTCGTGTCCCCCTACCGAATCGATGATACGTGGCCCTACCCACTTTACCAATTTTTCATAAGGTAGTATTCACATAAAATACAAATTTTATTGTAACCAAATTATGTACAATAATGGTTCATATGAAATATAGGTGGACAATTCAACTAGAAAAATAGAAAATAAATACAATGTATCTAAATACAAATTAGAGACATATCATAAGAGATCATTCCATCTGAAATAAATCAACAATGTTTTGCGGCAACTTTTAACATCAACTTGAGATTTTCTTGTTAAAAAGTTGAATAATTTTAACACGATGGATAAGAAAATAATGTTTTTTATATAGTGTAATTACTCCTGAGTTACATTTTTTTTTTCTTTTTTTTTTTACCTTTCATCTTTTCTAAATTGACGTACCACTAAATTATGTCTGTGTGTCCCAAGCCTAAATCGTAAAACAAAAGAAAAAAAAAAGCATACATAGTTCAAATGTGAATGGCAATGTATCTAATTCACGGGTTCAGGGGGTATAAGGGTTTCGTGTCCCCCATCCGAATCTATGATACGGGGCCCCACCCACTTTACTACATCTCAATTTTTCATTAGGTTGTATTCATATAAAATACAAATTTCATTGTAACCTAATTATGTACAATAATGAATCATTTGAAATATAGGTGAACAATTCAACAAGAAAAATAGAAAATAAATCCAATGTATCTAAATACAAATTAGAGACATGTTAAAAATGGATAGCGTCTCGGATTGAGGAATCAGAGAGCCAATTTGGAAATACAGTCGAGTCCATTAAATTCACTTACGTGCTAATCCCCTTGGGAAAGGTATGAATCCTCTTCTCCCCCATCCCACCGTCCAGCTATGGGTAAATAACAAGACAGGCCGTGTTCTATAGCGTTGGATGGCAACTGGTCGATCGCAGAAAGAAATGGAAACATACTTCGAGGAAACATCTGCCTCGTCAGTCATGTATCGAAAGATACATGATCGCCTAAGCGTATATCACGCATGGCACATAACTGACAGACATCTTAAAAATCAACAATTTTTAACATCAATTTGAGATTTTTCTGATTAAAAAAAAAAAAAAATGAATAATTTTAACACATTATGAATAATAAATAGTGAATTTTATATTGTGTTTTTTCAAGACTTAGCATTGGAAAAACAAATTTATGGATTTGGACAAAAAAGGTCCCAGAATGACGTCAAAATCAGCGAAAATTTTGAATCGTTTAACAGTCAGCCGTGCTTAGTTTAATATGTAATGTATATAAATGTAGGTAAAAAAAAGCAAATGATGATAAGATAGCGAGTATCACGAAGCAGTGCCCGGGGCCCACACACATATATCATTAATTCAAGTAAAAGTTTTCTCACTTAGCTGACAGATGTAACCTTCAGCATCCCGACTCTAGAATTTCGGAGACGGACGCTCCGGGAATCACTCTGTCCACTCGTCAGGGTGTATCGGGAAGATGTGGAGAGCTGTGGTCACCTAAAGGATTTTGTGTGAATGAATAGCAGGACAGGACAACGAGGGATGGTAAAGGGTCAAACGCTGTTTAGAACAACAAAAGACAGGAAGGTGTGGAGAGCCATGATCAGAAATGTCGGAAAAGGATTGATATACACGTACATAGATGTTAACAAACTGAGATAGATAGATGAATGAATATGAATAGACTGAAATAGATAGAAACTAATATACATATATATATATATATATATATATATATATATATATATAAATAAATATATTATATATATATATATATATATATATATATATATATATATATATATATATATATATATATATATATATATATATATATATATATATATATATATATATATATATATATATATATATATATATATATATATATATATATATATATATATATATATATTAAGCAAATATATGGATATAGATCCGACAGTATGAAGAAAAAATATATACGGAAAAACAAACAAAAATTAATTGTATATAAGGATTTTTGTCTGTTTTTCTTCATATATATATATATATATATATATATATATATATATATATATATATATATATATATATATATATATATATATATATATATATATATATATATATTCGACTCACGCCGTATTCAACGTATGAGGGTCAAACACCTCAGTTCCTAGGAACCGAAAGGCAGACCCCAGCACATGAGATTTGATTATAGTGGTGAAGTTTTTGTGCAAAACCATCCACATTTTTTGAAGGGATGAATACAGAGACCTGGTGCACTACGTGCCACAAGGTCCCCAAACAGCCTTCCGCAGGTTTTGAATTCAGTCCTTCTCCTAGACCAGTTGCTGTCCAAGGCTATATAACCCAGTCTGTCCTGCTATTTACCTATAGATTCATACCTTTCCCAAGGTACTTAAATGAATGTAATGGATTTAACTGGAATTCGAAATCGACTCTCCGATTCCTTAATCTGAGTCGCTATCCATTACTTCACCGTGCCTCCCAACAACTTGTAAGTAAATATGCGGCCATCATACGGACAAGTGACTGAAAACGGGCGGCCTTCTATTTTAGATGTATTGGTCTGATCAAACCCTAAGTAAATGAAAGCCTTCAATTGAGGTCAATTAGTTTTCTCGCGTGTTTCAGCTGATTATTTCTGTTTCCCCGTTGACGAGGATCATGTTACAAAAGCACTTCGCCGTGAACAATAGCCCGGCTATTGAGCCTTACTGGAAAAGAAAATCGCAAATTCCATATGCCGAGGCTTGACCACAGATCAAACGGCCTACTTGCTTCGGACATAAAGTCTTTCTATTATTTTTTCCCGCCACTGCGGATGGGTTACTTACCACAAGGAAACGGATCATGTCTACCAGTGTAGTTGTTTTTTTTCTTTTTTCTTTTTTTTTTTTTTTTTTTGTTACTTTTAAGAATTTCTTTGACGTTCAAAGCATTTTAAGGGTTGCACAAATTAATTAATCCTTTTTTTTTTCAAAACGGATTTTGTTCTTTTTTACTTGTTTGTATTTTCATCACACTAATATCATGTCTATGTTCCTTCAGATCGTAAGAGGTTATGACTCTCTACAGCTTCTTTTTTTTCATCTGTGTGAATTGCCATGATTTTTTTTTCATCCGTGTGAATTGCCATGATTTCTTGCGAACGATAATGAAATGGTTTCCTAATCTATTTACATTATTCAGACTATTGTCCTCATCATTGTCGCCATAATTATTACAACGTTTCGGCCGTTGTACGCTCCAGCCTTATTCAGGTGGTTGGAATGTCGAACGGAACCTTTTATTTCGCTAACTGGGGTAGACTGTTCTAGTTCCACGTGCCATGTTTTAATGGATGTCAGTTATCAGTTATCTCCTGTTAATTCTCTCTCCAAGTTCTCCACTGCCTTAACCGGGTATTGAACTCACACTCTTTACCTGTGCATGAAATAAGCTTTGTATGCAAGATCCGTAAGAAAAAAAAAATTTTCATACGTTGTAATTACAGCAATTCAAACAAACGTTTAAAATCACTTTTCAAAATTAACAGAATTACAATAATTGGATCCCCGACTATAGCGTTTGGATAAAATGGCTAATTTTATTTACTTATCGACGACATGATTGTGGGAATTGTCATTAATAATTCTAATTTTATCTTGATATCCTGAATGCGTTTTCAGGTTCATGCACTTCATACAGCATCCTCCGGCATCTACGATGGCCGAGTGGTTAAGTCGTTGTTCATGCGACCGCGTATGTTCAAACACTATTTGTGCTATTATCATAATGGCGTACTCCGACGTGGTGTCATGGTTAGCAAGCTTGTCTCGCTGGAACAATTACAATCGAGTAGTGAGTTCCATCCTTACTAGGTGCCCCATACTTTTGACCTTGTGCCACATCTAAGCTACGCTTAGAAAATTAACATATAGCATCCTCCGACGATTCAAGAAAGCTTCCTACTGTTGATGGCCGGGTTCTTAACTACGGCCCCTACCTTTTAAATACACATGACAGCCACTTCCGTTCTATGACTCAACTACATATGACAGGAATTTTTCTTGCGACTTATAGGTTAAAACATCATAGTCGACACATCCGATGGTCGTCTATTTCTGGGCTTTATTTCAAGGGGTAGGTCACCACCCTTAAAGCACTTAAACCGATTCTGGGAAGTACGACCCGATCTTGTTTCATTTCCTTTCACTTCCTGAATTCTGCTAGACACTTATGCTGTCTTAAGGCTCAGTTTAAAATCACTTCTCAAAATTGCCAGAACTACAATAATTATATCCACGATTACAGTATTTGAAACAAAAGTTATAACAGGATGGTATGGTTGATTTTCTTTTTTTTAATCAATTCGCCTAAGCAAGGTGATAATGCCACTAAGACGCAAAAGGTTACTGGGAGTGAAAGAGAATGACAAGACTTTAGAAGGAACCAGAAACCCACTTCTAAACAGGGAACAAGAGATAAACCTCTACTCTTTTTCAAAAGACCAAGGCTATGTGTCCACTGGACGATACATAATAGAAACAACGAACAATAATAATAATAGTGGGGGAAATAAATGATTCTATAGAGTACAGATTTTTAACAATTAAAATATTTAATATACGCTAATAATCGTTTAATCATTGTGCTTGTACCCCCCATTGTTAGTTCGCACGACCGTTACGCCATGCCAGTACCTCATAAATAATAGACTATTATGCAAAAAAGGGAAAAGACAATACTGGGTTTCATTGAGAAAATGAAGGAAAGAAAGAAGGGAAGATAGAAGTGGAGAGGGGGGTAGAGAGGGGTAGAGAGAGAGGGGAGAGAGAGGGGGTAGAGAGAGGGGGGTAGAGAGGGGGTAGGGGAGAGAGAGGGGGGTAGAGAGAGGGGGGTAGAGAGAGAATATCAGATTAAGTTGATTAGAACAAATACTACATATTGATCTTAGCCAAGAGGCCGAGTAAGCGAAGGTATTTTCTTGCCGCCTCGCGCTGGCAGACACAGGGTCAGTTTAATGTGGGCAGCCCGAGCTAATTTCTGCCAATTGCATTTAACCAATCTACTATAATAATAATAATAATAATAATAAGAAGAAGAAGAAGAAGAAGAAGAAGAAGAAGAAGAAGAAAACGGAGAGTGAAAAAATTGAATCAGATATTTTTCGATGTACAGATGATATAAACTTTGGAGTAAAGCTCTGTAAAAACGAAATTATTTTTTATACACAATAATAATAATAATAATAATAATAATAATAATAATAAGAAGAAGAAGAAGAAGAAGAGGAGGAGGAGTTGAATCATAATCTTCCGATGTGTACCTGAAAGAAGCTTTTGAGTAAACGTCTTCAAAGAAAATACAAATATCCTTCATGCCTCTTAATAAATAAAGATGCGTCATAAGATATATGATAGTTATGTCCTTAGAGTACGACAAAGAGTCAGAAGCTGTTAATGAAAGACGATCGAAGCGTATTACAGAGATGGGAGATCGTGTGAGTTTATTAAATCCTAACAAACTATATAGCCGAGAAAAGAGACACCAAGAAGTGTTCTAAAGAATAACTGTGGTCAAGGATTTTGCTTTCATCCATCCTCACTAACTTTTTGTCAATAATTGAATCTCTGCTTTGTTTTGACTAAAAGGGACACAAAGCGAGAATACTATTCTTTACCCAGCCTAATATAGACTGGCACAGAAAAGTGAAAATACGGCTATACAATCCCATATCCGGAATTCTTCGGACCAGTTGTGTTTCGGTTTTCCGATTTTTTCGGTTATCAGAAATTCAAACAATATTACAGCAAAAACGTACGAATACTCACGCCATGAGGGCTAAAAACAAAGACTACAAATATTATTAGGGTTTATTTATGGAGTAATATACGGATAAATGAAATAGACGGATAATTAAGACCATAAATAATGAATAAATTTTATTTATTTCAAACAAAAATGCTTTGTATAACTTAAAAATAAACAGTATCAAACGATAAGCTAAAAATATATGTTGTGCTCTCATGACCCTCTTATCTTTTATTAAAATATACGCATTTTGTGGCTGCTTCTCTGTCGCTCTATCCTGTCACTTAAGCCGACAGTAGCGTAAGATAGTTTTCAAAGAGTGAGTTTGGTTTGGTTTGATTTGGTTTGGTTTGGTTTTACGGTATATCAACCTCAATGGGTTATTTAATGCTGACAAGATTTTTATTGCTGGTAATATTTTTTTTCCCAAAATGTATTGCTGGTAATATATATATATATATATATATTTTTTTAATTCATTGCTGGTAATATTTTTTTCCCAAAATGTATTGCTGGTAATATATATATATATTTTTTTTAATTCATTGCTGGTAATTTTTTTTTTTTCCCAAAAATGTATTGCTGGCAATATTTTTTTTTTTTTAATTTATTGATGGAAATTTTTATTTTTTTTCCAAAAATGTATTGTTGGCAATATTGTTTTTTTTTTTTTTTAATTTATTGCTGGTAATATTTTTTGTTGTTTTTTTTTCCAAAAAATGTATTGCTGGCAATAGTTTTTTTTTTTTTTTTAATTTATTGCTGGTAATATTTTTTTTTCAAAAATGTATTGTTGGTAATTTTTTTTTCACAAAATATATTGCTGGCAATATATTTTTTTCAAAAATTTATTGCTGGTAATATTTTTTTTTCAAAAATGTATTGCTGGTAATATTTTTTTTTTTTTCAAAATGTATTGCTGGTAATATTTTTTCCCCTATATGTACTGCTGGCAATATTTTTTATTTTAATTTATTGCTGGTAATATTTTTTTTCCAAAAATGTATTGATGGTAATATTTTTTTTTTTTCAAAAATGTATTGCTGGTAATATTTTTCCCAAAAATGTACTGCTGGCAATATTTTTTATTTTAATTTATTGCTGGTAATATTTTTTTTCCAAAAATGTATTGATGGTAATATTTTCTTTTCCCAAAATGTATTGCTGGTAATTTTTTTTTTTCACTTTATTGCTGGTAATATTTCTTTTCAAAAATGTATTGCTGATAATATATATTTTTTTAAATTTATTGCTGGTAATTTTTTTTTCTTTTTCAAAAATGTATTACTGGTAATTTTTTTTTCTTTTTCAAAAATGTATTGTATTTTTTACAAAAACACTATGAAAGTGCAAAAATAAGTTTTAATACTAGAAATATATTTTTTTTATAAGAAATTATTACAAGCAATAATTTTTTGAAGGAAAACTGTTTTTACCAGCAATACATTTTTGAAAGTAAAAGAATATTACAGCAATAAAAATTTTGTCGGCTTTAAATAACCCACTGAGGTAGATATACCGTAAAACAAACCAAACCAAACCAAACAAAACGAAGTTCGGCGTCCCATTCAGAAAGACAAACGGACCGTATGTGGCCTGTGGGTCTCAGCTTGCCCGTAAATGTTTTATTTGACTGTAAATGAACCAGTTTCCCCTCATCGACACATATTATTTCTTGCATACCGCCAGGGATCGCGAGTATGTTAATTACCAGTGGGAGTTAGTTAAACGATCTAATCAGCTGCAGTTTTAATTCACCATCAGCTTACGAGTAGCACTTGTTGACCTCCCATTGGCGTGCCGATAATCGAAATACGAGATTATTTAGGAACTACGAGTATAAATACTAGAATAAATTCTTTATAGTAAATTTCAGTCAGTACAATGCTCAAGAGCCACTCAAGTTAGAAGGTTACTGTTAAAAAGGGTATGATGAAAGAGGAGGTG